AGGAGAGGATGAGCCAGCTATGCTTTTTCTTATTATGGCACTTCGCCTTAGAAACAGATGAGAACTCGACCATTCTTCCTTCCTTTGAGTGATAGGGAGGTTCTAATCTTGATTGTCTTTGGATTTTCCTTATCTCTGGTGGATATCCAACACTTAATAGACAAAGATTGTTTAATTCATGTTGAATTTTCTATTTGAATTACATTACTTGAACCTTTGATCTTTAGACACGGAGTCACTTTCAGCGTCTTAGTCATTCATTCTCTTGGTCGTTGGTTAAGGTCATTTAGTTTATTTCCTTTAAATGAGTCTTTTTTTTTTTTTACTTTTTATGACTCCTTAGGCTGATGCTGTGTAGTAGGGTGCTTAAGCAAGACGTGAATGCCTCGCTATTGAAAGTGGTGAGCAAATGATCACCCTGCCCTTTTTTTATATTATTTTTCGGTGGCAACTTCATGTTTCTCTTGATAAGTTGATACCCCTGTGGCAAGTTGGGAGTTTTTAGATAAGCTGTGGGCCTCACCAATCGCCCCTACTGTGATATCATCATCAGATGAAGGTGTCCCTATCAAGTAGTTTAGTAGAGTTACCAATATAGAAGAGTCTCCTTCACCTATCAGCGTATTAGATGGGACTGCCTCTATTATATTTTCATCGAATGGGATGATCCCTAATGAACTAGTCGATGGAACTGCCCATTTTGGATCTTCTTCAACACTTTCTATTTCAAGGAGTAGATCTTCTCGAATATGGGGTGCCCTAGTTAACGGAGTGGTGTTCATGCCCGATCTGCTTTTTTCCACCGATTCTTGAGGGAACAATTATTCATTTGGACTTATTGTCTTCCCTTAGTTGGACACTAGAGGGATATGTATCTGATTCCTTTGAGTTTAATCTATTGCCCCAGATATGTGGGTTGCCCATTGTATTTTTATGAAATATTGACATGATCACACACTCTATTTTTGTGGAGATATGTATCATAGGGCTGTTTTGAATCTTTTTTGGGCCTGTATCTTCAATTAAAATCGAGGTTCTCCATGAATTGCTCTGTTTTTCTATCTTTTCTTGAGTTTCGAAACTCGGGCTAAGGATACTTACATCATTATGAATTTGACATAGATTTTGGATTATTTGCCCCTGCGCCACTGTCTAGGATGGGGATCTGTTAGACCTTTTGTAGATTCATGTCTTCAACCACGACTTGAATTCTTTGCAAAGTTTGTTCTTCTTTCCTTTCTTCGGTTTTAGATCCCAGTCTAAGTCATTGTGGTTTCGAGGATCACTAGCCTCAGGGTCTTGTGTGGGCTTATGTGCAGACCTATCTTGTCCTAGATGGATAGCTTGGACCTAATGTGGATTTGGTCCATTATCTTTCATGTGCGCCTCATCTAATTCTTTTTCTTGGAAGAGCAAATTAATTGGATCCTTTGCTCACATTTTATTGTCTACAATGGTAGTATCTTGACCTTGTTGTGGGATAGGATCCTCAATTATGATTGGAATGCTTTGTGGAGTAGGTTGTTCTTCTATCATTTCTTGGATTATGGACCCTGGGCGATGGCCATCCTCGTCATGTTCAAGCCGTTGCTCCAGTATTACTGGTGACTGATATGTGCCTTATTGTTTGTTCTCTCATAGCGCAAGACCATCTTGAGAATTGAATAGAAAAGATAAGTGTTCTTACTAAAGAATCCTGGTCAAGCTCTTCTCCCAGTGTGGCTATACATTTTCCATAAAATGTATTGCTATATATGGAGATGACATGGGGGTGACGTCAACCGCACTTGGGGACCCTCATATCCTTTATTCAGTTGTTCATTTAAGTTGAAGTGTGTGGTATTATGGAATTTTTTAAAATATTGAGATTTTGAAAAATTATTTTTGACACATGTTTAATACATAAAGCAAGTGATATGTGCCCGTGTGGAGGATTCTTTATCGTGTGCAGTTGGCATACGGACGCCTCCGTAGGTGTAGAGGTAAGGTGCCCTTCAAATTTTATCATTGTATATAATTTTGATGTAAAGTGTTATTAAGATTATCTCAAAATCTATTTTTATATCTAATTATAAAATTTTAAATATAAAAAATGGTTAAAATCAAGTAGATCTATAAACATATGAAAATCTTGCAAATAGACGGTATAGAAAATTTGTTGTAAAATGCGCTACTTATGAGACTTAAAATCTTTTTATTTTTCATAGTCATATATTTCGATGTCGAGATGATCGATCAAAGGGTTTTTCAACATTAAAACTACCTTTTCCGATGGATTTTTAGGGGTATTCGTGGTTCTACATTATAAGGTTGCATCCTTATATAAACTTTTTCTTTCTATAAAAGGTATAGGGTTTGTAATTACAAGCATAATCCTAAGGGCATATGGTCAATGTGCAATTAACCACCTAGCTTATGTGACATGATTTTACTAGCCCCACATACTCTTAGAAATGGAGGGAACTTTTAAGATCTGTTTTTTGCTGAAATTTTTGATAAATGACCATAAATGAACACCCTTCATCTTGGTTTTAACTTTATTAAATGTAAAGAGCATGAGTTTTTTAATAACAAGAGAAATTAGAGTGAATCAAATGACGATAAAGGTATTTAAATCCATATCACACATCTTGATCGCATGATGGTGGATGTTGGGCTAGAATCATACATTTCTTTGTAGTCCATACTTGAGGGTTGAAAAGTTATAAATACCTTATGAGTTTTATTTTATATACATGCGTTCACTCTTCCATTTTCCCTTCAAAAGGGTGGCACACACCTCTCTCTCTCTTCCAAAGAGTGGCACACGCAAGCTATGTCTCTTCTGTCTTTATCTCTCTAAGATCTTAAGGTGAGAGAAGAATTTCATTGAAGGTTTGATTCTACTCCATTCAGTGATTGCTCCCAAATTACTACATTGTGATCCATGTGGTCATGGAAAATCATTAGTACAAATTTCTTTGGTTAGAAGTTCCATGATCGTCCAGTTGGAAAATAGACAACGATCAAGAGAGAGAGTGCCCCACCAAAACATGACATAGCCCATGCGCTCTCTCCGTCACCATCCATGGATTGAATAGATGGCTGTAGATAATTAGGACTGTGTAGTTTCGATGTTATGGATCGTTCTAGCGTGTATACTATGTCCCATGGGAGCATATTACATACTTACTCTATCGGCCCAAAGAGCCAATTGGTAAGACTTTTTTTACCAAAAAAATTGACATATCAAATGATCATTTCTAAAAAAAAAGAAAATTGATTACTTCAAAAAAGAAAAAAAAAAAAGTTCTTTAACATTTAGATTTCATCTTCTAAAATTTGGGTGGTTCTATTCAATCTCAATATATTTATTTTTTCATGCTCGTATATAGTGCAATTTGAAAGATAGTCACTAGGTTTACGATGTTATATCCCTAAACTTTGGGTCTAAAAATACTCTTAAATTGGATTTTAAGCTAATGAGTAAATGGAAATGTACTCCATCAGGATTAAAAATATTTTAACTTCAATATTTATTTATTTATTTTAAGTAATTCAATAGAGAAGACATGCCTACCCGTTTTTTCAAATAGATTAAGATACAACCGTAAGAAGCCCAACAAGCTCTCTGAAGAGCTTTTGAAGTGCCTGATCTCTATCTTCCTCAAGTTGAACAGGTATAGAAGTTTAGAAGTCCCTTAGCTAATGCTTTCATGCATGAGTTCTCGGAGGTTCATTCCCAAGAGCTCCTTCAATTGCACAGCACCATTGTTTCTCTCTCAAGAGTCAACCACACATGATCCTCATGGTCCTTTTGATAGAGACTTCGATATTGGACCATACAAGAACTTCATCGTCCTCACAAGAAGCTCACTGGATTTTGGTCAGGTATCGGAATACTTTCCATTGCTCCAAAAACCAAGGTAAATTTGTTTGTTTTCTCTCCCTAAGCACTATCATCTTTGTTTTGAAAATAGTAACTATGTATTGCTTCTCTCTCTCTCTCTTTGTAACTATGTATTGCTTCTCTCTCTCTAAATTGAGCGAGAGAGTTGATTTGCATGCATCCCCAAAAACAATCGAAGTAGAAAGCATGAGAAAAACCTCACATTAGAGAATATTCATTTGTTCGTGAAACTTTAAATTGTGCAATATCTCAATCTTAAATAATCAAAATAATGCGCAAGTCCAAACTTTGGGGGAAGGTACAATTTGGGAGCTGGAAATCTCCCCAATCATTTGAAAATCCATTTTCATCCTTTATCATGGAATTTAAAGCTTAAAAAATGCGGTTAGTTGAGTAGACAAACATTTGAAAATCTTGAAAATGGACAAAATACATTATTTTTGTGACTTTGAAATCTTTTTTTTTTTTAATATCTACATATCTCACAGTATAAATTGAGGAGTTTTCTAGCATGGAACAACCTTTTTCAGTCGGTTTTTAATGTGCATCTTTCTTCTATAGTATAAAGTTGATGCGTTATATAATTTTTCCCAATTTTAAAATTGTTCTCATGATAGGAAACCAAATACAGAGCAATCTCTTCCTTAAAATTAAAGAAACCTATTTGATTTCTGATAATGGCAATCTTGATTTGTTGCAGGGTTTTTGATGGACAAGCTTTGCAATTTGGATTGAGTTTTTTGACATACAAACAGAAGCTGGCCCTTTGGATCAACATCTATAATGCTTCTATTATGCATGTAATTAATAGGGTTTTTATCAAGTTGAAAGCAGAAATAGTTGGATCTATCAAACTTCATGCTCACTATCATGCCAAATTTCTTAGATTATTGGACTTAGAGAAACTAATGAGAATGGATCTAACAAGCTTCACGCTCACTATCATGCTCATTCCTTAGATTCGAATCAGCCAAGTGCATAAAGCCATTTATGAAAGCACAAACATTTGTTTTGGCCTCTGTATGACTATGCATGGCTCCTAATTCCACTAAATTCATCAAAAACAGAGCAACTAGAATATAAAAGCAAACATCCCAGAGAGTGACAACAATTTGAAATTGTGAAAAGGAAACCAGAATTGGCTCTAGCCTTTTATTAATTTAGATACTTTAAATAAAACCGATGGTTGATTGATACTTTAAAATAACAGTTCTCAGCATCAGAATGATGAAACGCTGAGACCTGCTCCTCAACAAAAGAACAACTTATTGGGGCTCCCAGAAGCCAAAACTATAATAAAAACCCAACCTAAATAAAAGTTCAGTTCCTCCTGAGTTGCCGCCTTGTGGTGCCCATATAAAATCGTCAAGGATGCATATGAAAAAATGAGTGGGTGTTTTACTTCTTTGGAACCCCAAGCCTCTGTCTGAAATCTTCTTCCATAAGAGGGAGACCTTCACGTAACTTGACTTTCGGCTCCCATCCCAAGAGATTATTTGCCTTCGTAATGTCAGGCTTCCTCTGGCGAGGGTCATCTGGTGTGTTGTCCACAATCTTAACCAGGATTGAAGAATCAATCAGCTGCAATAAAATACAGTTCAATTTAGTCTCTTTGAAAATTCTTTCTTTCGTCCATTTTTAGATATTGGCTGCTGGGCTAAATAGTGAAGGATAAATGGCCACGTAAGTTGAAAATAATGAACAAGATCAATAAAAAATAATATAATAATAATAAATCATGCTGACTGGTTTCTCAGATTGCCCACACACACATGGGGGCAGAGAGAGAGAGAGAGAGGAGGCCGGGGGTGGGCACCAAACTGACCTCTTTCACTGTTTCAGCAAGCTCCATCATTGTAAATTCACCTGCATTATAAGTAATTTACATCAGGGTGGTCATGTACATAATCTCAGGAAAAAGATACTTGGATTAAAGTGCGTGGTGTAGGCATAATTCACTGATAATGGGAACAACTGTGCATCAAAATCAAGCCATATAGTCACAGAATATTTATAATCGATTGAAAATGTTCTGAGAAATTTACCAGGATTTCCAATGTTAATAGGTCCAGTGTGATCACCTTCCATTAGTCGAATAAGGCCATCAACCTTCAATATTAAACAAAAAAAAGGAGACAACAATAACAGTTAGTTTTATTGCCCAAATATGATACTGGACTAAGAAAATATAAAGTAAAACCACTGACATGGACAAATAGTAGCTCATAGGCCTCCACAAAAATGAGATTGTGCTGATAAATTAAAAAAAAAAGAAAACCAACTACCTACCATGTCAGAAACATAGCAGAAGCTGCGGGTCTGTGTTCCTGGGGACTGGACTGTCAAAGGCTCATTCCTAGAAAATCCACAGCACAAAAATCCACGTCAAAACCGACAAGTTCATATAACAAAACGGTCTCACCAATAAACCAGTTCTGCTTCTTCTTCAAGTGCAACTTATGCACAAAATTTCAGAAAATAACCAGGACAGATTACGTAAAAAAGACCTCATAGAAAGTTAATCTATATATAGTCTATAACCTACATTTAAGATGGGCCATGCTATAAGGTTCAACCAGTTCATTTCAAGAACACAGATCACCCATTATAAATGTCAATAAAAGAACTCAAACCCCATGTAATTGTTTTGCAATCCACCATAATGACAATAACCGACAAGTTCATATAACTCGCTAAAACTCAGAGCCTTAACAAAAGTCAAACTTTGCCTTCAAACACAAGCTTCCTATGTTTGTGTTCCCTAATTAAAAGTGAAAGTGCCATTAATCCTTGAGATGCCAAATTAATAATTCATTACCAAATTCCCTAAATTCCAGGGCTTTAACTGATAAATACCCAAAGAAAAGTAAGTACTTTCTTCCATATAAACAAGCCATTTTCAAATTTACCTGAGTGCCTGTGCTATAAAATTGCTGACAACACGACCATCATCAATGTTCATGCGAGGTCCGTAAGTGTTGAAGATTCTAGCAATCCGAATCTCTATTAAACAAAAAACTCACATTTTAATACTAGTTATATTGAAATAATCAAACTAACATAAAACAATTGAAGAAAATAAAAAGTTTACCAATGCCATGCTGCCTATGATAATCAAACATCAGAGTCTCAGCGACACGCTTCCCTTCATCATAGCAACTTCTAACCCCTGTGTTATGATGCAAGAATTCATGGTAAACAATAAAATTTCAAGAAATATGCAAACCGTCAATGTGGTAAATTCGTAAACTTACTAAAAGAAGTAAACATATTTCATGAACGATTAGCCAATGAAGGCACTAAACATACCAATTGGGTTGACATTGCCCCAATATTCTTCCTTCTGAGGATGTTCAAGAGGATCCCCATAGACCTCTGATGTTGATGTCAGCAAGATTCTGCTTCGAAAAAAAATTCATCCTATTAGAAACCACAATAAGCAATAACTAAATGAAAAGAGAAGTTAGATCATCTAACCTTGCTCCTACTCGCTTAGCAAGCCCCAGCATATTCAGAGTGCCGATAACATTTGTCTTTATTGTCTGTTACAAACATATTCGTCACTAGGTGATATATACATCAAATGGGATAAAAGAGCTAATAAACAAACGAAACAAAAAAACTCCACACACGTCCAGTGTTGCTGGTTCCTATAGGTATCTGAAATAATTTTGCCTTATATTCTTTTAAGACAGTGATAAAAGAGCAAGGTGCTATATCAAATAGATGGGAAAGGAAATATAAGAAATCAGAAGGATTTAACATATCTCCAATATGTGACAAGGACACAGTTTTTCATTCTGAACCTGTAGAATTGTAATTTTGATCAAATCACACATCGCAGTATACCAGGCCTTCTAATTCTTTAAGAGGTCTATCTGAAAGATTCGCGATATAACTAGGAAGACGTTTCAAATACCACACATGAGTCACTGGACATGCCAGTTTGATGTATCCCATTACCATGAAAACCATAGTCCATTGGGTCTTCAGAGTCCATTCAAATATGGAAAATGATGGACATGGATACCAGCCTTGTTTTGCTTGGCTCCACCCTCAATCACCCCCACTCACCCCCACTCATGTAGGGAAATAAACTAATAACCCAATGAACTATTTTCTCCAAGCCATAGAAAATAGCATACATGATACATCCAACATTTTCAGGTGTGAAAAGGCCTCACCTTTACGGGGTTATACTTGTAAAAAATCGGAGAAGCTGGGCATGCCAGGTGATATATTTGATCAACCTCAACCAATAGAGGTTCTGTCACATCTGCATGCAGAAAAGCAGAGTGACGCATGGTCAATTAGAGTTTCCAAGATGTGAATAGCTCATAACAAGACAGAATGAAAAATTAAAATGTTTTAAGCAAGATCACACAACTTTGAAATGTCAATAAGGGATCCCTCCTTATGACCTCGAAACAATTGAAAACAAAAAAGAAGAACAAAGGACATACCATGGCGAATAAGCTCGAAATTTGGATGTCCAATCCATTTCCTCAGGTTGTCCTTTGAACCGGTGAAAAAGTTATCAACCACTATAACCTAAAACACAACCAGTGATGTCAAGCGTAAAAATCAAGTAAAACACAAATTCAAAAACCCATCTTTAAATTCTTGCAGGCAACAAAAGAGAGAAGCATTTTATCAAGAAGCATAAGGAATTAATTACCTCGTTTTTGTCATTTTCCATTAGTCTGTCCACTAAGTGAGAGCCAATGAAACCAGCTCCACCCGTCACTAAAATTCGTAGCTTCGGCTATAACAAATAGAAAAATCAGCTTTATATTAGTAATAAACTAATTAACCAACAAGACATGTTTTTTTCTTTTTTTGACGTGTGAACCAACAATACATGCTTCTTCAAAAGCAACCACTAATCCACATCCACTAAATGAAGCTTTCAACATTAATGGCATGCATCTCTAAAAAGAAAAGACTTGAATGAGGTTGGAAGAAACCAATATAAGACATGGCATAAAGCACAGGCCTATTGATTTATGAGCTTAAAATTTAAAAATTAATAAAAACAATTAAATATACAATTGCAGTGTGTTCGTGGGCAAAATTTCCCCTTAACGAAGTCTAGCAAGTAGCAACTGAAGTAACACAGTGTTTTGCGTCATCCACATACAATATCAAGTGATCATATGAAAATGCTATTTTAAATGATAAAGGGAAGACAAAGGGAACTGAATATGAAAATGTCATACACTGACTCTGACAATGTCTATAACTAAAGAAATTAAACATTTAAAGGATATCAGTTCCACAGGGACATGCAATTCTGGGAGACCAAAAAATCAGCAACCAGTCCAACATGTAAAGACTAAGCTCACTCTACGTGAACATAGAATAATTTTCTTCTCCTTTTTTCTGTTTTATGCACAGTTTCCAAAACAGCAAGTCACATGGGGATTCGAGTCCACAGTCTCGGTAAGATTTGGCCGATACTATCTGAGCAAGTCTTTTTAAACTACAGGTTTCAATCTTAAGTTCCAAGGGGGCCATACAACGAATAATTAATGCTATATAAATATAATATTATCTAATGTACCGGATTCTTTTGCTTATGCTAAATTTATGAGGTCCTAGTTCTAGCACAGAGTTCCAAAGTTCAATCACACCACAATACCACATGGTGTCCGAGTTTGAGAATAGGATCGATTTTGTAAGTTTTGCTGTTATACTAACGTATAGCTCGCTAAAAGCAGGACACAGATTGATAGATACTATCCATGGCACTAACAGCAGCCCGTTTCCAAGGAATTCCCAATAACGTATGTCAATAAATATTGTCTTGAATAAGCTATTCATCACAAATCACAACATGACACGGACCAAAAATTATTTTTATAATTTTCTTTTAATGACAAAATAGGTGCAATAGATTAAGGACTCAATAAACTTTGGGCTCTAAAACTTTCACTCAATCACTTGCTCAATACACTATAAATTTTTGTAGAAGATCGTTCTGACAACATTACGCAGCTTATCTCCTAACTTTGTCAAACTCCAGGGCAGCACATACCCGTTTCTGGATATTAGACAATATCACAATATATATCTCTTCACTAGTAAACCATCATTATCCTATAACCAAGTTCTTCTAATTCATTAGGGCAAGCATATTTCAGTTATTATTTTTACAGCAACTTCTTTTGCGCAGAAAATTCCAGGCATCTGTAATATCTCATATGTACTAACTTGAGGAAATTGTAAATCCTGTGACTAGTCCAAGTAATTTGACATGCATACAAAAGGTGATAAGAAACTTCAGGAGGGATTTAATAAGGATATTTAAGGATATTTAGTATAGACTCCCATTTGGTAATTTCCTTAAAAATGATAACCTAGATGTCTTTAAATTTATCTACTTTTACATGAAATTCTTCTGAAGATCCATCCACTCATGGATCTTTACCACATCCATCCACTCATGGATATTTACCATTTAAAATGTATATGCGACTCAAACAACAGAGCTTCAGAAATCTGACACCAAGGGACCTGAAATATATATTGCAGTAAATAGATATAGGCCAAAGACACCAGAAAGCAAGCGCTTGAAAACAGGACCTTGTCAACTATACTTAAAATTTCCAAAATGATATACCATATGAATTTTGATTCTAAAACATGATAGACACCGTATATCTTCAAGAATTATTAAAACGAGGACAAATATAACTCTTTCCTTTAATTTCTTAAATTAAAGCAGAGAAAAAAAAGCATCTATAGAAAACGAATGACCAGAAGAAGTAAAAATGAAGCGATCCTAGAGACAATGAAAGAATCTTAAAAAATCTGTCAAAGCAAACACGCATCCTACGAGAATGAATGGTAATGAAATGTAAATATACATAAAAAATGAATATAAAATCAATCTAAGAGAACAGTTACTGATATCTAAAAAATAATAATATTTACCTGACTAAATCTGGAACTGCGTAGAGGAGATGGAGAAGGGGGAGGCTTTGGTGCTGAATGGGTTGAAGTCATGTCTCCATTGGAAGCCGCCATTGCTACACAACTGCAATTAATAAATTCGCAATACTCAAAAACCCTTACTCGAATAAATTAACCCACAAAAAATCAAACTCAAAATCACAACACAAGATCAAGAAAATTTCTGGAATCACGATCTAGATTTCCTGAACACTCCATAGATAAACAACTCAAATTAAAAAGATTGGAAAAACGAAAGAACCTAGAATTCAGATCAGAACCCATATCAAACCTCTAATCAAATCAACAACGCATATCAAACCTCCAATCCAATCAATAAACTCAATAAAGATTCTAAATAAGAGAAAAAAAAAAACAGGAATCCAGATCAGAAACCACATACATCCTCAAATTCAAATAAATTATTCCCAAAAAAAAATCTACTCAAATGAGAAAAATCCATCGCAACACCAAAATCAAGAAAATTTCTTGAATCAAGATCAAGATTTTCTGAACACTTCATAGATCAACCAATCAAATGAAAAAGACAGGAAAAAACAACAGAATCTAGAATTCAGATCAACCGATATCAAACCTTCAATCAAATCAACAAACTCAATGAAGATTCTCAAGAAAAAGAAACAATCAACAAACTCAATAAAGATCTTCAAGAAAAGGAAAAAAGAACATGAATGCAGAGCAGAAACCACATAAACCTCAAATTCAAGTAAAAAAGAAACTAAAATTTCTCAAAAAAAGATGAAGAAAAAAGATCATAAACCACATCAACATCGAAATCAAGCCACAAACTTACTCCAATTCTCAGCACAAAAACGCAAACCCTAACACTGAAACCCTATAACAAATCACCAATCTTCGATGCCTTAAATACACGATTCAGAAACTGAGAAACCACGATTGCACCTAACAATCATGCAAAGAACAACCTTCAAATTCAAGCAAAGAAAGGGAGTGTAATGATTTCAAGTAGAGATCTACCTAATATACGTTACTCAATCACGCCACGGTTAAACTCAGATCTCTCGAAAATTAAACCCTAAGTAGCTAAATTAGCAACAGAAAGCCTCTTAAGAAGGTTGCTTGACTGTAACGAAAGTTGACTAATAAAAAGAGATAAGCGCTGACGTGGACATGACTCGATTTAAACTTATCACACGGGGCCACGGTTTCTATGCGGCCAGTCCGCATATTGTAGACATGCGGGCTTGACAATAAATATATTCTTCAAATATAATTTGATGCTGAGAATATATAATCTTGAATATAGAGATCATGAATACGGGGAAAAATAAAATTTTAAAATATAAATAATAATATATTAAAAAAACATTTAGACCGTTAGTGACACCTAGATGAACCATCTTTTTTGCGTCCATCTTTAAGTTGGATGCCTTATACGTCTTGACCGTATACTGTAGAAATACGATCCAGCCCGTTTGAAACAATTTCCCTATCACGTAACTGTGTGATCTACCTCTTGTTTCTTCAATATCTGCAAAGGTATTATGAGATTTACACGTGGTCTAGAGGAAATTTTTGTTTTGACGGCGGTGCAACCCAATCACAATTAAACTTGATGAGTAAGGCCTAGGCTTTACGAAAACAAAATCAAGCCTCATATCAAATCTACATCCGAAAAATATTTTTGATAACAAAAATTTACATAATGGCTCTAAAATCATTTTTCAATTCAAATAATAAAATTTAAAGCTTAAAAAATAGTATATATTTTTTGGAACTATGGACACTTATTTTTTAGGGCAAAAGGGACGGTCTAGAAAATTTGTTTTAATAACACTAGTTTTGGAGCTTGTAAATTTTTTTTTTTTTTTTTACAACTATAATGTTCAAGTCAAGATAATCAATGTAAAGGTTTCTAACATTTGAACTGTAATTTTTGATGAGTTATGAGGTGAGGCTTTATTTATTTTGATATGGTTGTAGCCCTATCAAACCATTTTCAAGTCAGTGCACCTCCAAACCATTTTCAAGCGAACCACAAGATCTGTACTTGATGAGAATTCAGCGATCCACAATATTTAGATAAGGAAAATAGTTTTGCCAAGGTTGCAGCCCTGTCAAAATAAGTAAAGCTTCACCTCATAACTCATCAAAAATTGTAATTCAATTGTTGAAAAACCTTTAAATCGATTATCTCAGCTTGGACATTATGATTGTGTAAAAGAATTAGGATTTCAAATTCTAAAAATAGTGTATATTACAACAAATCATCTAGACCATCCATTTTACTCTAAACCCCAAAATAAAGCCTTATATCAAATCTTCATCAGGAAAATATTTTTGGCAACAGAAATTTACATGATGGCTCCAAAATCATTTTGCAATACAAATAATAAAATTCAAAGCTCAAAAAATAGTATAGATTTTTTGGAACTATGTACACTTATTTTTTAGGGCAAAAGGGATGATCTAGAAATTTGTTTTAATAACACTAGTTTTAGAGCTTGAAATCATTTTTTTTTTTTTTCACAACTATAATGTTCAAGTCAAGATGATCAATGTAAAGGTTTTCTAACACTTGAATTGTAATTTTTTATGAGTTATGAGGTGAGGCTTTAGTTATTTTGATAGGGTTGTAGCCCTATCAAACCATTTTCAAATTGTAACCCGATCAAACCATTTTCAGTCTATTGCCCTATCAAACCATTTTTCAATAAAAATAAGTAAATCTCACCCAGGAATTATCGAAAATTATAGTTTTAGTATCAAAACCTTCAAATCTATCATCTTGGCCTTAATTGTTGTGGTTGTGAAAAAAAATATAGGATTTCAAGCCCTAAACATTTATCTAGACCGTCTGTTTTGCTTTAAAAAATAAGTATTCAACGATCCACAAGATCTGTACTATTTTTTGATATTTAGAATTCATAGTTGGTGTTGGAAATTAATTTTAGAACCATCATGGGAATTTGTGATGCGCTTTTCAAACGAGGATTCTAGGTAAGGCTTTACTTTGTTTATAGTTGCAACCTTACACAAATAAACAATCAAAGTAAGTGCACCTCCAAACTTTGTCCTAAGATATAACCCTAGTATCGAAAATTCTTAAGATAGCACAAGAATTTATTTTTATCTCTAATTATAAAGCTTTAAAATAAAAATAGTTCAAATCAAAGCAGATATATAAATGCATGAAAAATCTTGAAAATGGACTGTAATAATTCTAAAATTCCAAAAAAAAAAAACTTTTAATAAGTGAATGTTCGTATGAGCATGAGGGTCCTTAGAGACCATCACTATTTTCAAAAGCTTTTGGTTTAAAGCTTTTGCTGCCTTTCTCTTGCCACGTCCACTAAAGGACGTGGGCTTTGAGCTTTTAAAGTGTAATTTAATTGTTACACTTCATGTGTGAGGTGTAACTTAATAAAAGAATAATATAGTATCTTAAGAATTTAAATACAAGAGGCAAGGACTCCCACCTTAGAAAATTTGGAGATCTCTCTTTCTAGCCGAATTTTTATCGGAAGTTTCCTCTCAAATATTTTAGGTAAGTGACTTCATTATCTTGAAAAATGATCCGTTCTTTTTAGAAATGAAATGACATAATTATTTCTGCTTATTATCATGAATTTTAGGCGCGATAAATTTTATGCGCAAGTGACCTCATTATTTTGAAAAATAATATTTTTAATAAAATTATAATATTAGAAATTTTAAACGCTGTAAATTCTTAGAAATAAGTTTATTTATTTATTTTTCTTGCCTATTGTTAGAAAATTT